CTCCTTTTTTTATACTTACTCTAAAAAAAGAAACCCCAACCACTAGGAAATGCCGTTTTTAAATATAACCATTGTAAATTCTTACTTCCTTTATCTGTCTACAGGGTGTTTTTATACTTGGGGTGAGGTTATTCTTCTTTCTCCCTTCTTGGAATGAAGGCACCCACCTTCCCACCAGTGCAGAGCACAGATTTGGGGTGGGCTGTGATATTCCAGGGTTTCACAGCGTTGCTGCTGGGAAAGCAGGTTGTGTTTGATCTCTGTTTGATCTTGGCTCCTCCGAGACCCGACAGATTTGTAAGTCGTAGCCTTTGGCTGCTGCTTTGATTGCCGGGGCAAAGGGCTGCCACGAGGTTTTTGTTCTCAAAACGCAGAGAAAAGGGCAAGAATGAAAAAGTGTGTGTAAGGAGGCAGGGGAAAAACCAGGGCCGAGTGTACTTCCAGCCAACAAGGAGGGATATAAATGCAAACTTGAAAACTAGCGAACTTGAAAAGCGAAAGAAATCAAGAGTAATATTTGCTTAGACCGTGTTGTTGTTGTTGGGGGGTGGGGTGGGGGGCTTCTCCTTGCAGTCTCTGGTGACATGTGGCAGTTTGGACCCGAAATCACCAGAACACGAATCTGGAGGCAGTGGGGGAGCTGTGTGGGGTTTGCCTTGGGCAGGGGGGAGGAGAGGAGTCTTCCTGCTTGGCTTAACTGTCCCCCAGCTGGAAAACCTCATGGAGAGGGATGGATTGCTGTGCAAACATCAGCTCTGTCTTGGAAAGATGCTGGGGAGATCTGTCCCTTCAAAGTATGGCACCTCAGGATTCCCCATTCCTTTTCTTTGGCGTTTGGGCTTTTTTAGATCCCTCAGTGCCAGTGTGGACATGGAGTCCCTAACAGTGGAATTATTCTGGAGGAATCTCTGTATTTGTTCCCTCTGTTCCTGCACAGGGTTTTTGTCAGTTAATCTCCACTTTCCTATCTGTTTCCTCCAAAGGGAATTGCTTGAATTCAGCAGCTTGAGACACTTCACCATATAAAACAATCTGTCGTTTTATGGCTGAATTAATCCAGCAGCTGAATAATTCCAGCCTGTATCTCCCCGCCAGCATTCCTAAAACACAAGAGGTGACATGTGCTTTGGATTTGCTTGCCAGGCTCAGGCTATATATATTAGTGAGGCTTTTCCAGAATTTGGGAACTAAGGGTAGTTGTTTGTTTTTTTTCTTCCTGAATTTAATGTATAATTTTCATGAAATCTTAAAGAACCTAAAAGACAGGAGCAAACTGATCTCAAATTAAGCACATGGCAGAGTAAAGGAGCCCAAAATGCTGGAAGTGTGTCTGAAGGAAGTGTTGTCTTCCACAGCCACTTGAGTGGAACCACAGCCCTGGGATTTATGGTGGGATATGATGATTTTTAAAGGTCTTTTAGAACATAAATGATTTTACAATTCCACACACCCAAGAGTTACAAGCTTTAAAAATACTCACTGTTGCTGCGGTGGATTTTGGCAGCCTTGGGGTGGAGGTGAAAAGGCAGAGGTAAAGTTTAGTGCCAGATGTTGGTTCTTTTGTGTCTTAATTCCTGCCAGAAAGTTGGATGTGGTGTTGTCCAGCCTGGACCTCTGAAGTTTTCTCCTAAAACCTGTGATGCTGCTCTAGATCCTGAAGGGTCAGGGCTCTTCTCACTACTTCAGTGACCACAGCAGGGCAATTACATGACAAGATCAGGGGGTTTGGGGAGGGAAATCCTGCTGCCAGGGAAAAAAAAGAGTCTGGAAATTTGACTGCTAAAAGCAGTTAAAAAGGCAAACTCACTATTGGTTGCTACAAACCAGTTTTAAGGGGGTTGGTGCAATCAGTCTCCAGGCTCTTTTGGGACTTGCAGTAGTGTGGTTCTGTTGTACCTCAAGCTGTCAAAAATCCTTCAGGATTTGCCTGTGTCTGCATTCCACTCAATACTGTTTTATTAGGATACTAGACTTTCACTGCTTTGTGTAGTTCCTGAAATACTGTTGGGTTTTTTTGTGTTTTTTTTTTTTTTTTACTTATAAGTGGCCAATTGCTTTGAGACCAGCACTTAAACTGCCAGTAAAGTGTCTTTTGAATTGGTGCTGAGCAGACTGTGAGAGCACACAAATTGAAACATTTCTCATAATGTTCTTGGGATGGTTTTTTTCCTCAAAATGATTACACAATTCCAGGAAGTTAAATGTAGCATTTCTCACTGAAACTAACTGGGTTTAAATAGTGGAAAACAAAGAGGAGAGGAAGTAGATGAGGGAAGAAAGTCGAGTGGGGAAAGGAGCACACACAGAAAAGATTGTCCTACCCTGGAATTTCAGAGGACATGCTGACCCAGGTCAGTATTATTAACATACCTAAGTTTTAAGCTCTGCAGCCTTAGGACATGACCTTACTAAGGAATTCTGGTTGTCTCACTATTTCCCTCTGTGTTTATTTCCATCAGACCTTAAAACTTTGAGTTTTGGGTCTTGCCAGAGCTTCCATTTGATGCAGGAGCTTCTCTGACAAGCTTAGGGCACACATCCCTGCCTGGGAATTTTGTCCTTCATTGTATCCCAGCTGCAGCACATTTCTGTGGGAACGAAGGAAATCTTGTGCGTGAAAGCTCTTCCTTTCTGACGTTTGAAATGGCGATATCTGGTAATACAAATATAAATTGATTATTGCCATGTTAAGCTGAAAACACAAGGTGTAAGGGTCTCCTTGTTTATCACTTTATTTCCTTTATATTCTAGGAACACCTGAGGGCTTGAGATCCCCTTGATAGTTGTCAAGTGTGCATAGAGAATAAAAACTTTCCATACACACTCCAGAGTGTCCCAGCAGGTCACAGCAACTGTGACTCCATCCAAATTGCATCTTGATGCTGTTTGTTCTTGCAGCATACTGTGTGTGCCAGCATAATGGTCATTGCAAAACACTATAAATAGGCTGGGAAATTCAGAATCTGCATATCACCGATTGCCAAATATGTTTGCATGACTTTTCAGCTGTTACAAGTCTTGGAACAAAATCAGGGAAGCTATGTCTTGAAAGTTTTAAGAAAAGAAAATACTGGGAAGGGACTGGAAAAGGTTGTCTTGCCTAATCACAGAATGGTTTGGGTGGGAAGGAACCTTAAATATTGTGCAGCTCCAACGTCCTGCCGTGGGCAGGGACACCTTCCACTAGACCAGGTTGCTCCAAGCCCTGCCCAAGCTGGCCTTGAACACTCATCCTGTCTCCATAGCAGAGCTGCTCCAGCCCTCTGATCATCTTTGTGGCCTCTCTGGACTCGCTCCAGCAGCTCCATGTCCTCCTTATGCTGGGGACCCAGAGCTGGAGGTGACACTGCAGGAGGGGTCTGACCAGAGTGGAGTAGAGGGGCACAGTCCCCTCCCTCTCCTGCTGCCCACACTGTGGGATGAGCTCAGGACACATTTGACTTTCTGAGCTGCCAGTGCACATTGCTGGGTCACACTGAGCTTGTTGTTCAACAGACACCTCCAATCCTTCTCCTCAGGGCTGCTCCCAATCTGTTCTCCCCCTAGCCTGTGTTTGTGCCTGGGATTGCCCTGATCCAGGTTCAGGTGCCCTTGGCCTTGTTGAACTTCATGAGGTTTGCATGGTTCCCCCTCTCTAGCCTGTCCCAGGTCCCTCTGGATGCCGTCCCTTCCCTCACCGCACAGGTGACTCCATCAACCCCACTGTCCCTGTCTCCCACAAAGATGTTAAATCCTTTTCCTCCAGGTGTTATCACCTAAGCCCAACTCTTTAGCAAGTGTTGGAGCTGCTGAGAGCTTTCAGCAGGGAGTTGTGTTGTAAAAGCACCTCTGGTGTTGTAAATGCGGGAGGTTTGCAAGAGAACAATCCTTCCATTATGTGTTTTCAATAATTCTGTCTCAAATTACCCTTGCTAACCCTTGGTAGGCTTTTAGTATGCACATAGATGTTTTTAATACCTCCAGCATTCAGAAAGATTTTTAATGATTTGTTCAATAATTGATGTGGCTTTGGCATAATTTAGGCTTTTGTGAGAGATGGCAGACAGATGAGTGGAATATATTTAGTTGTTTAGTTTAATCATCCCTGTCTGTGAATTCCTTAGGTGAAAAGCAGTATGAAGGAACGGAGCAAGTGAGAACCTCTTGGAGAAAATTATCCCCTCAGATGAAAGCTGCAGAAAGCCTTAATTAACCTATTAATTCACTGCTTAAGTGTCTGCAAAGTGTTTTCTGAGCAGTAGCACTCATTACCTTTCAGAATTGTGTGCACTTCTATGGACCTTATATTTACATCTGTATCCCTGTTAGCCAATAGTTTTAGTTTCTCAGCTCTTTTCCCTTAATCTTGGTAAGATACAGCAGAAAATAGGAGTTGTCCTGTTCTAGTCTTCTTTTAAATATTGAAATACTATTTAGTCTTTGATGCTAAATCCATATCTATAACTAGTTTACTTTGACAGGTAGTAAGAAGTAATGTTCCTTTAATGAGGAAAAAACCCCTTGCAAGTGCTTGGGTTTTGTCACCATTTATATAAAATTGTTAGGCTGTTTCTCATATAACCAGAAATTTACTTAATGGTAATGATATCCCAGAAATCCTGGCACTTTTAACTGGAAATCAGTTGAGTTGCTCACTTACCTTAAAAACAAACCAACCAAAACTCCCTAAACCCCAAGTCTGTCCTAGGTTACAAATTGATATAAAGGTTAGGAACTGAATATAATTTTGGAGGGAGAAGGTGTTTGGAGTCTAAACTATAAAAATGGTAAGTATTGGGTCCTTCTGAACTAGAAACAAACAAGTGCAGCTTGGGCTTTTCCATTAAAAACAAACCAGAAAGATCCCATTGTGTGTGTTTACCCAGCCTTGTAATAACATGTCACGATACACTGCTCTTCCTGATCGCAGCAAAGGTGTTTATGCAGCAAAATGAATTTGATTACAGTATTTTTGTGTGTAATGGACATCTCTTTTTTGTTGTTGTTGTTTTATTCACCAGGCAATCAGCTCTAAAGGTCAGCACAGTATCTCTTTCACATTGTCCAGGAATCAGACAGTTATAGTGGAATATACTCATGATAAGGACACAGACATGTTCCAGGTAAGACTCTGCAATACATGGATTGTTGTTTTAAAAGCACAATTCTGGGTATTCTCTGTGATCTGTGGGTTTTCCATGGTCTAACCCACCTGCTTTAATATGAGAGCACTTTGAAAGTTTGCTTTATTTTGCTCTTCTCAAACCCACACCAGCATCTGTTAATGTCCTTACTGACTTACTACTCCCACTGTCCTCTGCTTTTCCTCCAAAGACAAATAGCACTGCCTAGAAATGTGTGCTTGTTTGGATTCATGAATAAGCATAAAAATACACCCACCACCCTCCCATGAATCAAGTAGCTGGAGTGAAAAGGAGGTGGATAGGAGAAGGACATGGGATGGGAAGTAGGAAGGTAAAAGAATGTGGGAGCTGTGCCCTAAAGGAGACAAAGCAGTGATAGAAGGATAAACTGTTCTTGAGGGGTGTGCGAATGTCTCAGGTGGTGTAGGGGGCTGTGCTGAATTTCTCTGACCTACCATCTCTTATCCAACATGTGTTCACTCTCCCCTTTTTGCATTTGGGGTTTTCTGCAGCATTTAACACCTGGTAACCTGAGTTATTTCCTTGGGCAATGATTATTTTTATATATAATAAGGGAGCAGAAATCCTGTACGAACTTAGACTTCAAGCTTGGGGAAACCCAAACACACACACACAACCTTCTCCATTCTGGACTGATCAGATCTGTCTTGTCTGTGACTTCTAATTAGGGCATCTCCCCAGGAATCATTATCCCTTCTCCTCCAGCCTTTCATATTTAGGGGGGTCAGCCCTCAAGTGCTGTTGACAGAAGAAGAAATAGCTCTTTTGGGGTGTCTTTGCCTCTCGTGGCTTCTGTGTTTTGCTCTATATTAAATTTTCCCAATGTGACTGGAACTGTTAGGTCCAAATAGGAATTGATTAAAACCCCTCTTGTTCATTTGGTGCAGGATGAAGGATCACACACTCAGGGTGAACTGAAATAGCTTTTTTTTTTTCTATGTTTTCTAGTAAAAGAAAAATGTCCCCCATCCCTTTGGGTTACTGTGTGATACTCATTTATTTCTTGAGTGGCTCCAATTAAATTTTTTCCTGTGTATAAATTTTAAAAAGCCATTTTTGAAAGCTGGAATTTTTTACACTAAAATAATTAATAAAGAGTTGCAGGACAGCTGCTTTTCTGGGTGTATTGTACATAGACAGCTCTTCTCTTGATTGCAGACTGTCCTGGTGGTGGTTCCAGCTTTTATTGAGGGGGTTAAATCACAGATATTGATAAGGGTTAAGGCTTCTGCATTGTTATAAGTCCTCTTTTCAGTGCAGTCTGTTTCTTCTGTCTTGAGATGTGTAGATGGTCATGTTGTAACTTCCAAGTGCTGTTTCCTGGTTCATATTTCCACTCCCTGCAGCTGTTCCCTGAGGATTGCACTCCGTGCACTGGCCTGGAGGGGCTGGTGAGACGGGAAACAGGAATTCTCTGGTCGACTGTGGCAATGACTGGCTGCTGAAGTGATGCCAGACAGCAGCTTGGAGAGGTTTCCATTATAAAAACAAACCATTAGATTTTAATTATTCCCAGTAATCTGATTGTGGGCAGTTGGAGAGAAGTTACTTGAGGAGTGTTTTGTGCAGCCCTGTGGGATGTGATGACAAGTTACGTGTCTGTTGATCCACAGAGTGAAGTTTTGTTGTTGATCAAGCATCACTTGGATAGTCAGTCTTTGGAATTCACCATTTTCTTTGCAAATGTGTGTTTTCCTGGATTGTGTGGCACACTAAGGATGCAGAAGTTGAAGAGGGAAGGATAATGCCTGGACCACAGGATTATCCTGAGCATGGAGGCCCCACTTTGATGCTGTTGACATGTATTATCTTGGGCAAATCACTTGGCTTTTTTCAAATCTCCACTGCTTCCCCCTGTGCAATGGGATGGTTGCACTGCAGGAGTTCCCCAGAGTAACCCCAGGAAGGAATGTGAGAAGCTTGGAATGGTGGTTGTAACATTTTAGTCAGGGAGATCCAAAACGGGCAAAAGGAATGCCAAAAGTCAGGTACCATTTCTAACCTGTGTGGACTGAATCCATAGAGTTAAAGCTGATTTCCTGTGAAAATGAGGGAGATTCACAGTTCACAAAAAAGCTGTCACCTTTTTTCCTTCATCCACTTTAAGGGTCTGTTATCAGTCCTTTTCTTTGAAGGGAAATGTGAGAAGTGTTGTGTTGGTAACTTGTAGTCTGCGGTTTTACCGGAAACAAACAGGAAAACTTGGAAGATTGCAAACTCACAACAGCTTGTTTTATGCTTTCCAATCTTAAAACCAGGAAGAAGCAAGAGTAGGTGCTTATCTAAAGTGAGCCATACATTGAAAATATGGGACACTATACAAGGGACAGGAAGGAAATTCAGCAGACACTGAAGAGCAGTGTTCAGGCTGTCTAAATACCACTTTTCTTGACATTTTTCCATAATAAAAGGAAAATGACCATATTTTTTGATGGGATGAGAATGGGTTGATTACACCAGGAACCAAAATGTGTAGCTTCTACCTTAAATAACTTACCCAAGGAGCAGGGACATTCCATATGAAACGTGGGTTTCTTGCTGAAGAACAGCCCTTCAGAAGATGCACGGCCCAATTCTCCCTCTCCTCACAGTGAAATTCTGTTGAAGACCAAGAATGTGCAGCTGTTAAATTATCTGCTGGCAGGTTTTCTGCTTCTGCCTCGTCTCAGGAGGGAGTGTTTTTAATAGAACTGCTGTGATTGACAGTAGACACGAGCAAACTGATGGACTGCCTGGCTCCTACGCAGCCTTCAACAATCACCTGCAGTGGAGACAACAGACCCTGTCTTAGGCATCACTTGGAAGATTTATGGGTTGTTATTGGAAGCAGCTTTGTGAAATAATATGTAATATGACACAGTTAACAAGAAGAGTCCCAAAACACAGCCTGAAATTGGTAGAAAGAAGAAAGTCTTCTGTGCTGCAGAAGAAAAATGAGTAATGAAGTGTGTAAAAAGGTAGCTCTGAATAATGGAACTGGCTGTGTAGTGACTGTGGTCTGACTGCAACAGCAGATGAGTTCAAGTTTTTGATGGGTAATTTTGATAACATCAAGTTCTTCACTTATTCCCTTCAGAGCTTCTTGTCAGATGATCTCAAACCCAAATTCTTGATTTGATACAGAGCATGAAGAAATTGCCAGATTTTGAAGGCCACTTTTTAAAATTAAGTTCTGATGTTGAAAAGTAGCACAATACATGACTGATCCTCTAGAAGGCTTTCTCACCAAGGAAAAAAAGGGAAGAAAACCAAATATTTGAATTATTTGATGTCGCATAGACATACTTGTGACACGAATGAGATCAGTAAAGTACTTACTGTATTTATATAAAATGTTACTTGCCATTTCAGAGATTTTAAAAACCACATAAAAGGTTTGTTTATAGATTTTAATGGTTACATCCAAACATATTTGTATTTCATGTTACCAATTAGTGTGATGTGAGGAAGACTGGGAGCAAGCACTTGTGTGTTTTGTCATCCTTTAAGGAAAAATGAGGCAGGTTTTTCTCTAATTGCATCTAAAAGCTTTGGTGGAATGATCTGTTTCAGAGCCTGCAACAGGCAGAAACTTGTTATGAACAAACTAATTTCATGTTTGTTGTTGATTATCCTTTAAGAAACTCCACACAGAGAATAGTCAAAAGTTATTCATAAGATTCCCGGTGCTGACTCTTAACAGGAATTGCATTGGATGGGAAATAGAAGCCTGTTAGAAATAATACTGTAAAAAGAAGAAGAATATTGCTTTGTGAATTTTAGCTTCAAGTTGTCAAGTTCCATAAATCAGAAGTGTCCCATATTAAACAGTTTCTAAACTCCATCTCTAGGGTATTCTAGAAGTGAAAAATTGAAATGTACACTTTTGATTAGGCCTTTTTGAGTGTTTCCTCTGCAGCAAACTCATTTTCTACTTGGGCTGAGACCTGGGAGATGGAGAAAATAACTGGATGTGTCACATCAGATGGGAATTTTGACATGTGTTGGAGTGTAACCCTGCAAAGTAGAGCTTGAAGCAGAAGAGAAGTACAGGAGAGATCCCTGTACTATTTCTGTCAGTTCAGTTAGGCCAAGAGTTTAGGTATTAATAATATTACTTTCCTTGACTCCTGAATAACGTGTCTTTGCAGCAGATTTAGTTTGCAGAGGTGTTTGTTAGTGATGGAACCACACACATCTCATATTGCTTTGAAGAGCAGGAACTAAGTAAATGTAACTTCCTGGGGGACAGTGAGATCCTGTGCAGTGAGGAGGCTATTTTATATAAATGTAGATGCCTGATACTGAAGGTGGTTTCATGTGAGGAATATTCCTAATTCTGTTTGATCACAAGTTGTCTTTAAAATTAATATTCTGTTCCACTCCTTGTTCCTCAGCTCCCCTTCCCAGTTATGCTCAAAATTGGTGTAACACTAATTTGCCTGTAGAAATATTGATAAAGCCTCACTGTACGTTTGGTTGGCAGTCAGATTCCCTCTATCCATGTGTCATGAAGTGTTCCAGATGCCTGGATGTTCCCAGTTTTAGAATTAAATGGCATAGATGGCAAAATAGAAAAATATTCTTGTCTGCTGATCAAATGTGTTTCATTTCTGCTGGAGAAAGTTTATTAATTCTGTTAATCATGTGGTGGGTTTTACCTGAAAACTCTTCTTTCTGGGACCACCAGTTCTGCAAATCTGAAGGTGGGTAGCTTTTTGTTATGATGTGTCTAAAAAAAGTCCTTTATTTTCATGGCAAATTGCCTTGGAACTGGAAATGTGAATAAAACTTGTCAATCCAAGCCAGTATTTCCTTCACTGACAGAATATAAGTAATTTACTGTGGTTGGATGAGGAAATACAAGGTGATAATACTTTTTTGTTGACAATCCTTTTGTCAAAGCAATCAGCTCTGTTGATTTGTTTCAAGCAAACATGAACATCGGTTGTGGTAAGTGAAAATTTGCCATTCCATGTCAGTGAAGTGTTTCTGCCTGTAACAAATGCAGGTGAGTCTCTGATTGCATCTTGCCATCCAAAAATTGAGGAGACAGGAGTTTACTGATGCCATCAATATTAACTTATCAGAACAGTGCTTCACATTTGCATGAGTATTTCTATTTATATTTTTATCTTAATTTTGTTTGCAGGTTGGGAGATCCACAGAAAGCCCCATAGACTTTGTAGTAACAGATACTATTTCTGGAAGTCAAAATAATGATGAAACCCAGATCACCCAGAGCACCATATCCCGCTTTGCCTGCAGGATAGTTTGTGACAGGAGCCCACCTTACACAGCAAGGATCTTTGCAGCTGGCTTTGACTCATCTAAAAACATATTTCTTGGTGTAAGTACTACTAATAATTGTTATGAGCAAGCTCTGGGTTTTATTCTGTTATTTTCAAGCCCCAAAATCTCCTTGTACTACTTGACAACTTACACTGTCATTAGGCTTTTATTACCCCAAAGTACCAGCTGCAGTGTTAAGGAGGAACTGCAGTTTTATGTGCCTGAGTTATGAGCAGCAGAGACTCGTGGTCATAATTGTCTTTAACGGTGGAGCTCCACTTTAGGAACTGCTGGTGGGTTTTCCTCAGGTTGGTTTGATGTGTCCTGATGGTCACTGTGACTGTCCCACGCAGGAAAAAGCAGCAAAGTGGAAAAATCCTGATGGCCACATGGATGGATTGACAACCAACGGGGTGCTGGTGATGCATCCCAAAGGAGGGTTCACGGAGGAGTCCAAGCCCGGGGTGTGGCGGGAGATCTCGGTCTGTGGGGATGTCTACACGCTCCGGGAAACCAGGTCTGCCCAGCAGAGGGGGAAACTGGTGAGTGGGAAGTGACTGGTGATTAAAACAAAACAAGGGATGCTTGTTTTCCTGGCGCTGAGTGGAGGCAGTTGTGGGGTGACTGCAGAGTCATGGTGTTGTCCCTGGGTGGTGGGCACTGAAAGCATTTAAATATCTGTGTGTTACAGCAGGTTCTGCACTGCACTTCTGTTTCTGATATACAGAACACTCTAAATTTGCTGCTGAAGCCACTTTCCCAAGTGAAACAGCACAGAGTGTAAAAGCTAAATAAACTCTGCTCTTGAATCTCCATCTCTGCAATGTTCTCCTGGGATCTGGGGCTGTCTGGAGGTTACTGCACAGGGAGCTGTCTTTTGCAGTGCTGTCTGAAGGGTCCACTTGCATGCAGAAGCAGTTTGGACAACACACCTTCTGTTGGATTTACCTACCACTAGGAAAATAAGAGAAGCCCTGAAAGTATATTCCTGTTTTATCCTGTGAAGCAGGATGGGCTTTGCCTTTACCAGAAGTGAGAGATTTCACCTACCAAAGTCCTGTGACATTCATAACAAGAAGTTCCATGAAAGCACATGTGCACTTTTCAATACAAGATGGGAGAGAATTCCCATAGCTTTTGTTCTTTCCTCATCTCAAGACCTGTAGAGCCTACAAAGGAGAATGCATTTTATTTTTTCCTTTGGGGGCAGAAGGAAAAGGGACAAGAAATGATAGCAGTCAAACACCACCATGTAGACTGGGGGAATATCCTCCTCTTCTTCATGCCAAAGTTACTTTTGTGTTGCTACCCTGAGCTCCCGTCAGCTCGATGGTGTTGGAGGCATCCCACACACTCACACTGAACTGACTTTCCAACTCTGCCCTTGGCTTTGCAGAAAACTGACTGCTCAGGGAGTTATGGAAATGGAGTTGGACTGTTCTGCTTTCAGCAGACACCCTGCAGGACATAAATTGCTTTGTCACTTTTAACAGTGGCAGGCGAACGTCGCCCGGGGACTGGGACAGATGATGTGGCAATTGCACCCTTTGTACGTGGGTAGCAAAACACCTTTTTAGTGCTGCTGAAGAAAGGCACAGCAAAACAAATGAATTCCCCTTCCCTGCATCCAAAATGACTCGAATTCTCATTTCAATAAAATTACATGGCACACTGGTATTGATGTGATCAGTATTCGTTGATTGGGTTCGTAAAACCAAATGCGGGCTTGTGTAATGAATTGAACACGTTGCATATGAGGGAGCTTTTTGCTTTGCTGTTTGTGAAGGAATTATCTGAAAAGAGCATCAAATCCAGGCTTCTCTCATCTCTACTTGAGCCACTGAATTTTTCTGCTGGAAGTATTTTGCACTGGTGACCTCTTATCTGTGGTCTGCATTGTGCCATCGAGGTGTTCTGTGCAAGGATGATCCACAGTTAAGCTGTGAATTTAAACTGGATTAAAATGTAAATGCCAAATTGGTTGTCATTCATAGTATTCTGAGGCAGACATGATGATTTCATGTGACCTACTTAATGTGTTTGTTTGTATTTGGGTGTTTGTTTTGCATTAGTGGTATTTTCTACATCCTTTGCGTGTATAAAGCCAGGCAGTGGGTCTGTTTTCCTCTTTAATTTCATAAAGAACTTTTTAAATACATATTCATCATTACTGAACTGATAGGAAAAGCACAAATTGCTTATATGTTTGTGCCATTAAAATCAGGAATATTTCAGTGAAGTACAATGTGGTTTTGTCATAATCCCTTGAAAATGTTTCAGATAACTGCTTTTAATCAGACAAGAAAAGCCTTTAGGCAGTTCACACTGGGGCTGTATTTGCATGGAATACCTGAACTGTCCTGGATAGCAGTTTTCAGTCCAAAAAGGATTTTCTACTGAGTGAGCAGCCTCTCTCAGTCTCTGTGGGCAAAGAATTCCAGGAGAGAACCTGCTAATGCAGCCCTTAGGGAATGGCAAGTCTCCTCTTCAGTCTGTCATGAGTTACTGAACTGTGACAAAGGCACATAGAGAATCAATATTAGAGAGGGAAAGTGCATGCTCAGGGGTGGGGGGGTATATCCTTTCCCAAGGAATTGCAGGCAGGAAGGCTCTTTATAATAATTAGTATTGCTGTTGGAAATGCTGAACCTCCTGTATGAGCACAGAATAAGAAACCAGTGCTTATTAGGACAAGAGGGCACAGTCTTAAGCTGTGCCAAGGAAGGTTTAGGTTAGACATCAGTAAGAAATTTCTTACAAAGGGAGTGATCAGCCATTGGAACGGGCTGCCCAGGGAGGTGGTGGATTCACTGTCCCTGGAGGTGTTTAAGAAAAGACTGGATGTGGCATCAGTGCCGTGGTCTGGGTGACGAGGTTATGTTGGGCCAAAGGTTGGACTTGATGATCTCAGAGGTCTTTTCCAACCTAGCTGATTCTGTGGTCCTGTTCTTATAGTCTTTAAATACAGAGTTGAGGTGGATTCAGTCAGAGGAGGGGCCACAAGGCACCAATAAGACCAAATGAAGTGACATGTAGGGATGGTGATGCTTTGGTGAGCAAGACGATGCATTTGCAGAACTAACTTGGTTGTCTGTAAAAGCTCTCAGGCTGAACTTCACCTCCCCTTGTGTCCCACCACCAGGTAGAAAATGAGACCAACATCCTCCAGGACGGCTCCCTGATCGACCTGTGCGGGGCCACCCTGCTGTGGAGAACGGCGGACGGACTGTTGCACACCCCGACGCAGAAGCACATCGAGGCCCTGCGGCAGGAGATCAACGCCGCCAGGCCGCAGTGCCCCGTGGGCTTGAACACTCTGGCCTTTCCCAGCATCAACAGGAAGGATGTGGTGGAGGAGAAGCAGCCCTGGGCCTACCTCAGCTGCGGCCACGTGCACGGCTACCACAACTGGGGGCACCGCAGCGACACGGAGGCCAACGAGCGCGAGTGCCCCATGTGCAGAACCGTGGGCCCCTACGTGCCGCTCTGGCTGGGCTGCGAGGCCGGTTTTTACGTGGACGCGGGGCCCCCCACCCACGCCTTCACCCCCTGCGGACACGTGTGCTCGGAGAAGTCCGCCAAGTACTGGTCCCAGATCCCGCTGCCCCACGGGACCCACGCCTTCCACGCCGCCTGCCCGTTCTGCGCCACGCAGCTCTCCGGGGAGCACAACTGCGTCAAGCTCATCTTCCAGGGCCCCATCGACTGATGCCGCTCGGCGGCGACCACAATAAAAGAGTTTCCTTTCATGATTTACTGTGAAGATTTTTGCCACTAACTTCTAGATTTTACCCTTTTTTTTATAATGTTATTAATAGGGGGGGTGGTCGGGGTGGGGCTGGAGGGGCCGGGGTGGAGTTGGGATACATTGATACCTGGAACTCGACAGATATCAGTGGTTGTTGCATGCTCAAAAGCAGCATATTCATGAAGTCTTCTTGGTCAAATTGTAGTATATTTGTAATCTTTTTATTAGTACCCTGGATCAGAAAAAGGTGTCTTAAAAATGATTTTTTTAAGCTAAGATTTTTTAATGGAAAGGTTTTCTCTTCTAAACTTTGACAAGCCTTTAAAACCTATTTTTCAAATCTAGAAGGAACATACGGAATGTAACTTGTCTTTAATTTGCAATATAATTTAACTTGAATAGTTTCTCAAGGAGCTAATACAGAATGTGTGGACAACCAGAGGTGAATGTTCACTAGAGATAATTGGGTATGTAAGAGAAAAATTAGCTGCCTAAAGTGTAGAGGATAAAAGCTATTAAAATATCTATTATGGTATAACGCAGCTGGCCAAAAAGGCATCAAAGATTACTTGAAACTGAGGAAATCCTGTTTGTATTGATTTCCTTTCAGTGTAATAGATATCCACTGGCCATTAGGTGTGGGAGATGGCTGATTTTTTTTCCGTCTTTTTTTTTTTTTTCTGCATCTGGTAAAACCACTTTACTCTTTTGAACACTTAAGTTTTAAGCCAGTGTTTTCTGTGTCTGTGTAGTCTGGCCTTTTTATTTCTGCTTAACTTAGCTTGGCACGTCCAGGACCCTTGGGTGTGTGGAGGTCATGGAATCACAGAGTGGTTTGAGCTGGAAGGAACCTTAAAATCATCCACGTCCACCCCCTGCCGTGGGCAGGGACACCTTCCACTACACCAGGTTGCTCCAAGCCTCATCCAACTGGGAACAATTCCAGGGATGGGGCAGCCACAGCTTCTCTGACGTATCCAGGGATGCAGCCAGGCTTTACTGCAGGGATGGAAGGGGTGGTGCTGCAGCACAACGAGGTTTAGGTACAGCTTACACAGAACTGATTTGCAGAAACCTGACTTCAGGAGAGCACTTAGTCCAGGTTTAAATGTAAACCCACGGCTGGGAGTGTTGAGTTTCTCAAGTGCTTCAGTGCATCGTGGCTGTGTGTTGTTACCTTTAAAATAAAAAAAAACAATTTAAAATAAGTTATTTTTTAAGCTCACTGTAAAGCATTTTGGCTGGAAGGGGAGCATCATTTCCAGTTCAGCTGAGAATTTTTGTTCACTTTTCAACTTGCTGCCATCTGTCACCTTTTTTTTTCTTTTTTTTTTTTTTTGTTTTGCAGATTGAGTTGTGTTTGTATCTTTTTTTTTCCCCCCCAAATGTTTGCAAATCAAACAACATTCAAATGCAATCAAATATATGCACCAGGGTGGTACATCTGAAGTGGATCACTTGAAATTCCTGACTTTAAGAGAGGTGATAAATGTTTACTATGGAAATAATTAAATCAGAATTTCATATGAGATGTACCCTGCCCACTGTTAGGTTCATTTCATGCAGCATAACAATTCTTTGATTTTTGGCTGGTTTTTTTTTCCCTTATGCTTTCTGTATTCTTGGTATCTGAGGTATCAATCTATCCAGGTTAAATAAAAAAAAAAGATAATTTGGGAGAAATTTATAACATCTCTAGATGAAAATTGATCATTCAAGCTCACTTCTGTTTAATCAACTATAGCTTTTTGCTATATTTGTGCCCTTTGTATAAATATATAATTTATATGATTTTAATATATTCTGTATATATATACTTGAATTGGCCTGTTCATATTTTGGTTGTAAAATTGTTTTATAGTTAACCTTATAAACATTTTACATGTCCCTTGCCAGTGGTGATGGGATGGACTTTGTCTGCTGCTGTTTTTAATATAATTTTGCTGTATGCCTGTTCAGCATTTTAATAATTTGAAAAGAGCTTTACTTTTCTTTTTACGCTTTTGCTGTTTAAAAAAAACAAACAAAACACCACAACAATTCTGCAACATTTTTTTCCTAGAAATCCCAAACTGTACAGCTTTTTTTTGTCCCACTCAGTCACTGGAAATAGGATGAATCTTGTTAACCTAAAACTATATGCTTCTTCCTAGTGCCTTTTCAATGAGATCCTCTTGTGATTCCGTATATTCCGAGTCCTTGCTCCCACAGGACAACCTTGTGGCTGAACTTCACCAGGAGCATTGGGAAGAAACGCCTTTGGCCTCCCATTCCTGGTGGTGGCTCCGTCCCAGACGTGAAGGTGCCTCTTCCTTGTTCTCTCCAGCCCAGGTTCCTCAGGTCCCACATTGTCCCTGTTTAGCAGATACCTCATCTGGGAGAGGCAGCCTCGTCTCCACCTCCTCCTGCTGGACTCGGGAATGCTTCACCTCGTTCCTCACAAGAGACACTTCGGAAACAGGCTTTCAGCAATGGTTCCTGGGTGGATTAAGGCTGGGAGCTGTGTGCTCCAGAGGTCTGGAGCTCCAGCACTTCCCGGGTCTGCCTGGCATCCTGAGCTGGGCAGGATGTGCTCGTGTTTTGTCTCTGAGCCTGAATGGATTGTAAACACTCTGGCTCCCAGGATCCCACCTCTGCTATCCAGCTGCTTTCCTCCTTTCCTTCGCTGTTGCAGTTTAACTGCTGCTTCAGGGCTCCGTGGAGCTGTGCCCTGTGGGAAATGAATGTACAGTGTTGGAGGGATCCTCCCTGGAAGCACTGGCACACCATCAGTGTGTTTGGCTTGTGTGGAGCAGAGCACTGGATAATGGTTTGTATCCACGGGAAAGGTCCCTTTGGAACTGTTTAAACAGGAGTTTTTGCTTTCGCTGTCGGCAGTTCTGTATAACACTGGGAATGCTGCAGGAAGGAAATCTTTCAGAATTCCAGAGTGCTTCAGGTTGGAAGGAACCACAGTGGGTCATCTGGTCCTGCCTATCTGCTCAAGCAGGGCTGTCCTAGAGCACATGGCACAGGGTTGTGTCCAGATGGTTCTGGAATATCTCCAGTGGGGCAGACTCCAGGCCCTCTCTGGGCAATCTGTTCCAGTGCTCAGGAAATAAGTTCTTCCTCATGTTCAGGTGGAACTCCCTGTTTCTGCCTGTTCCCTCTTGTCCCACTGCTCTGCACCCCCAAGCAGAGCCTGGTCCATCCTCTTGGCACCCCCCAGTTAGATATTTATACACATGGATGAGGTCCCCTCTCAGTGTCTTGAGGCTGAACAAGCCCAGCTCCCTCAGCCTTTCCTTGGAAGGGAGGCTCCAGTCCCTTAATCCTCTTTGTTCCCTGCACTGGACCCGCTCTGGGAGCTCCATGTCATTCTGGTCCTGAGGAGCCCAGAACTGGACACGTCACTCTAGATGTGGCCTGACCAGGGCTGAGTAGAGGGGCAGGATTCTTGTGTGGGGTGCAATTTTCCATGGCTTATGTAGAATCCAGGGACTTCACCATTAGCCAGTGTTCAAATCCAGGATGAGCCCTGCAGAGCTGGATTTACTGGGGAGGCTGAAGAGTTTGTAGCATTATTTATCTCAAAACCTGCTGCCACAAGTCCTGATCCAGGGAAATGATGGACTGTTGGCCCTCACCTTCCCTCGTCTCTATAAACACCTCCTTCCTCTGCTCTGGTAATGACAGGAAAAAGGAGTTGTGGATAAATAAGACTGGAGCGAGTAAACTTGAGAACCACCCTCAAACTTTGTTTTAGAAGTTTATTTCGTGATTTCAGTGTTCCTTGCATCCCATTTCCAATGCTGGCAATGTATTCCATAAAGATCTTTTTTTTTTCACCTGTTACTGTTGATTTGATTTGAATGCTTCAAAACCAGCTTTGACTGCATAACTTAGAGCTCAAAAGTATTTTTCTAGTCTGATCTTTTTTCTAAAGAAATACATCTGTCATATCCGTGCACACTGGAGCTGGAACACTTTCCCTTTTCCTGGCAGCTTTTTGGTAAAGCACTGAAGTCTAAACAGACAAACTGAGTGGTGAGCCTGGTTCCTACTGGGAATTGTGGTCCAGCCCCCATCCTTGCCCTGAAAGGGTTTCTCCTCAGTTTGTCAGGAAGCTCTGGGATGCCATGGAAAGGGTGTAATCTTCCCAACAAAACACTTTGGTGTTCTAATGGCAGTTCCTGGAATTCAAGGGTTTGGCTTCAGAGCCTGAGCAAAGAATGGAGGTGCTGAGTGTATCATAGCGAGAAACTGCAATAGGATTGAACAGAAATTAGGTTTTTAAATGCTCACAGCACTCAAAGGAGATTTGGGGTCAGCTGTGGTAACTCTCCCTTTAGTGCTGTCACAGCAGCTGATCATCTCACCCTCCTTTCATTCTTCTGGAAGGAAACTTCTCTAAAACCATCACAATTCTGTTCATCCATCTCACAGTCTTGGCACTTCCCTGGCATTGGAGAACCATTAGTAGGGATCTGGCTGTGGTGAGGAGAACTGACCTAGCTGGACTCCTCCTCCTGCTTAAAGCTGAGCTGCAAATGCACCTCTGGAATGAGCTGGGCTTGTGTGTTCCTACAGGAACTCCCTGTTTTCCCTGTGACTGTTGTTAACATGCCATGTTGGATGCAAAGTGAATCCATAGGTAGAGCTGTTGATGGAGGAGGTGGGAACTGAAGCCTGTCAGGTGCTTGAGCCCAATGCCAAGGATTCCTCCTCCTTTTTTCCTCAGTTTTCGGCCTCTTGTGAGTTCTTGGCTCCTCATTTCCTATTTATCCATGTAGCTGCAGGTAAACAAGTAAATACAGCTTGGAAGGAAAACAAGCAAGGAAGAGAATTACACAGATCCCTTCAGGCTTGCTTTGCTCTTGGAGGAAAACACAAACTGGAGTTGCAAGTGTCTTTTTTTTTTTCCCCTTTCATCATTCTGGTTTTTCTGAGCACCTATCACAGGTCTGCACACTTGGTGTTGTGAGTTTAAAGGACAAACTTAGAAGGTAAGGCTGGTTTTTTGGGGGGTGGGGGGTGGAGAGGGGGCTGTTTCTAGGATGTGGTGGTGCAGTGGTTCTGTGGGCCCCGTGCAAACTGCGTCCCACTGACTGCAGCAGGCACTTGGATCTTGGAAGGGCAGTGGAGGTGGAGCTTTGCTTTCTGTGCTGATCAGAGTTTATTGGCAGCAGAACAAAAATAGGAATTGCTCGGACACCCAAACTCCAGGTGGAACCAGTGTCTGTCGAGATTCCCTTGGTTGGGGCATATTTCCACTTTCCTGGTGGACAAACCAGCCTTTGAGTCACCTGGAAGTCCCTTGTGCTGGTGTTAGGGATGGGTATCACTGTCCTCTTGGATTGGATATGTGATGGAGAGCCCCTGGAAGGCTCCTTATTGGAAAAGTCCCTCCCACAGCGAGCCCTGTGCGGTGGAGGAGGAATGTTTACCTTCAAACAGTGTTAGCAGCTATTAAACTTCTGGGTATATTTGTAAAATCGGTCTTTTTATACACCGTGTGAAATGGACTGAAATAATTTCTTTGCTGTTGTACCTGTGGAAGTACAAGCCATTTTACAGGAAAAAAAAAATTATAACAAAAAAAAATTAAAATGTTATCTCAGTATTGTCACTGACTCCTTCGGTTTATTTTCCCTGCTGGTTGGTTGTCAGGTTTTAACAAAAAAAACTCCATACAAATAGCTTCCAAAATAAACAGTGTTCTTTACTCTTTTATCCAGTTTCTACTCAGCAAACAGAACCAGAAGCCTTTGATTGAGGATTATTAAATATTTGAGGTAGTAGAGCGTATTTCAGGTGTGAGTGCCCTGAAATTCCAGTTAATTCACGTCCCTGGTTTTTCAGTTGAACTGTTTGTTTTCACTGCCAAACTGCCTTCTTGGGGTGTTAACATAATTGCCAAAGAAAAGCAATTTCCAGGAATAATAATGCTTTGTGACTCTTAGAAATTAATTTCCGTAGTGGGAATCCAGTGTTTTGTTTCCACCTGTGTGTTCTGTATCCCTTTCTGTGGGCGGCCCCTGTGAGCACACGAGCTTCGTTTTTTAAAAGGAGCTGAAATGAATTGTCAGCCTTTTTTTGGTACTTAGGGAAAGAAAAATGTTGGCTTGAGCACAGGGAAGGGAAATAAGGATATCTGCAGTGTTTTCTAGGTGTGGTCATCTGCCAGCTGGCTCCAAGGCTTCCATGTAATTGAGGAGAGCTAAATTCTTTCCAGGGAAGATGCTCCCAGGCGAATGGGTTGTTTGTGTGTAACTGTGTCCACCTCCCAACAGGAGAGTAAACCCTCTTTCCTCTGGGATTACTGCCTCTGTAGGGACCAGATTCCTTTGGGACACTCAGGGTGATGTGGATGTGGTCAGAGCAGGCTCTGCTTGGTGGATTCCTGAACAGGAATTCTGTGGTTGGAGAAATGCAGGGCACAGGTTTGTACTGGAGCAAAGACAGGAAGGGACCTGGCTGGTTTAAAAAAATAGTTGAAGGCTGTTGGTTGGGGTTGGAGTTGGAATGAGATGATCTTTGAGGTCCTTTCCTACCCAAACCATTCTAGGATTCTAAGGCAGCCTTGGAGTAGTAGTTCTGCTGGGAACACTGGTGGTGGAGAGGTTTCTGCTAATCCTTAGAGGAGGTGAGAACCTCAAGGCAGGAGTAAGGACAGAGAGGGAGGAAGAAGGAGAATCCAGAGCTGAGGTTGGTGCTGTACCCCAACAGCCTGGGGAGAGCAGTCATGGAATCACAGACTGGTTTGGGTTGGAAGGCACTTTAAAGACCATGTCATTCCAACCCCCTACCATGGGCAGGGGCACCTTCCACTATCCCAGGTTGCTCCAAGCCCCGTCCAACCTGGCCTTGGACACTTCCAGGGATGGGGCAGCCCCAGCTTCTCTGGGCAAC